GCTGGGCTCGGAAGCTGGCTCCCACCTGGACCCCATCCCCCTCCACCCCACGGAACCAGGTGCTTTGGAGGGATCGTTTTCACCGCTATGAAGGGCCCTCCCTGTTCCAAGGCTGGCGCCGCCTGGGGCTCACAGCTGCTATTCACCTGCGGGCAGAGATGAAGCTCTTCAGTCCCTGTCCACCACCCTCCCCGCAGGGCGGGAACCACCACCAGAAGGCAGGGTGCCCCGCCTTTCTCAGCCCTGGGCGGCCTCCCCAGGCTCGGCCTCCGCAGCCCCGACCCTGCCGCGGGAGTCTTTACTGGCCACCCCTGCTCCTGGGAAGGCGGACCGAGAAGGTTGCCTGCTGCGTGGGCCTAGCAGCAGGCCCAGCGCCGCCCCAGTGCTTTCCCTTTGCCCACTGAAGTGTCCCAAGTCATCTTTCTTCTCTTGAATCCTCACCTGAGGACATTTTTTCCATTGCTTTTCAGAGAGAGTGGAAGGGAGGCAGAGATGTGAAAGGGACTCATCAATCGGTTTCCTCCCGCAAGCGGTCTGGGGCCAGGAATTCAGCCGACAACTGAGGTACGTGCCCTTGGTGGGAATCGAACCCAGGACCCTTCAGTCCGAAGGCCGACGCTCTTAACCATTGAGCCAAACTGGCCAGGGCCCAAGTCATCTTCTAATTCCCATTAGAGACCGGGGAGTTAGACAGCTCTGGGAGGGCTCCTCCCTCTCAGCTCCGGTCCCAGGATCTCTGTGGGGACTGGGCAGGTGGCACCGGCCAGCCACCCCTCCCTCTCAGCTCAGTGGCCCAGATTAGAAGAGCGGATTAACTCCAAGGTTAACTAGGACAGTGCCGCTCAGAACACCGGGTGGAGGTGGAGGAATTCTACGCCTTATGCGAGCGCTGGACCTGTGTCTCCGTGTCACTGCTGGTTAACACAGCTGTCTGGGGTTGTCTTTCTTCCAATAACCGTAAACTCCTTCCTGGAACGGGAACTTACAGAGAAAGGCCGACCAACTCGGCATAAGGATGAGCGGCTGAAGGTGGAACACGTTATCTCGTGAGGTAGTGAGTTCCCCAGGGCATTCAAGCAAAGGTGGGACGAGCCCTTTTCAGAGATGTTTCAGAGGGACTCACACATCTAGCCACTGCATGGGCTGTGAGACAACCCCAAAGTCTGTCTCAACACTAAGATTAAATGACGGCAACTGTGCCACCTGCCACCATATTTTATAAATCCCATAGCATTTAGCACCCAGTGAAACTCTCTGAAAAGGAAACAGAAGTAGTGAGTCTATGTAATTAGCAAAATGAAGGAAAAGTAGAAATGAAAAATCTAGAAAATGCTTCCAAAGCAAAACTTCCTATAGCAGAAAAGATTTCAGCTTCCAAACGTGGCTTACGCCTGAGCACCAATAAACCTTCCATTTCTGGGGTGAGGGAAGGGACAGATATTCTGCTTGGACTTCTGTTACAGGCATCCTAAGAACCACTGCCATCACGGCTTGTCGTAGTGTCTAGAATGGGAGGGTCTCCCCTCCACAGGGCTGCGCGGTGTCTGCTCAAGAGCACGAAGGGTGAGGTCGCCTCTGAAGACTTTTGACCTCAGTCTAATCTAGGGTGATATTTGTAATCTTCAGGTCAAAAAGGGGGCTCAATCTTCCTACGCACCTGTGAGCCAGGCTGGGTAGATCTGGAAATTCTTCCAAACCCCGAGCTCCACTCCGGATCCCATATGATTCAACTAGGACCTGGTGTTTCCGTCCCTCCCAGGCGCCTTCTTGGGGACGGAGGGTGGGCCCAGCAGCGCAGCCCGTGATGCGTGGAAGTCAGCAGATGCACCCAACTCCGAGAGAGATAATTCAGCTCACGCACCAAGCTATTAAAAATCTTTATTGCTAATTTTTTTTCTCCAACAGATATATTTTTAGTGGAAATAAGAAGCCACAGCAACACTTCCACTTTTCTTCCTTAGAAGATGAGACAGATCGGGGCAATCACTGTTACAAGACGGAGGCCCGTGACCTTGACGAGGACAGGCTGGGGCAGAGAACACACCACGGGCCAGGACATGGACCCTTATGAGAGCTACAGGTACAGAGAGAGGGGCAACCAGCAACACTGGCATCTACACCTGATAACAGATGTTACAACCTGGGGGAGGGGGACTGCAGGCCACTGAGCTGTGAGTGTGCTTGTGAGTGCGTGTGTGTGCTCACACATGCAAGTGCACACACACTGCTTCCCTGGAGGAAGATGCTCTCCCGTCCCCGTCCCCGTCCCCGTCCCCGTCCCCTGGGGATCAATGGCCTTCGCAGTTAAGGGTCAGCTAACCAGGGCCAGGGGCCCATGCGTGGAAGACAGTGTTTAGGCTGTGCCGCTCAAGTCCTCCTTCTGGGGCCAGACTCAGTACAGCATGAATCTCCCCCTGACCACAGGGCTTTCCCAGGCTCAGCCTTAGGACACACTGACATTCAGCCCTTGTGCTCCATGACAGCCCCAAGCCCCAAGAAGGGGAAATTTGGCTCTGAGAATCTTCTGGCTCTGGGTATGGGGGCAAGAATGGGTGTCTACCTTAGGGGAGGGTGGAGGCTTCCCCTCCCTGAGGCCTGCATCTTCCTCCACCTCCCCACCCAGATGCCACTCCTGTGAGACATGAGGGAAGAGGGCAGGCTGCCTCCAGGGGAAGGGGGAGGGCAGGTGGGAAGACGTGGTGCCTGCAGCCATTCAAAGACTGGGGCTCTGTAAAGTGATTCTGGGGCTGGGTTGAGGGCCAGCCTGGTGGGTCTTCTCAGTGAAGCACTTCATAAATGACACTGTCCCTTCCAGGCTGACACGGAGAGACCCTTCACAAGGCAGTGCAGTGAGAGGCACAGGCCTGAGTGAGAGAACCAGGAGTGCTGGCCAGGACCTACTGTCCCAGTGGCAGATACCTTGGGAGCCTGGATGGGGGAGGTCAGGGGTGGGTGTTTGCAGCCAAAGGACTTGTGGGCCTTGTGAGCCAAGCTGGGGTCTTTGTGTGGGTTCTAGATTCCTGGGCAGAAACCTGTGCTACATTGTGGGGTCCCATAGCTGGGAGAGCAGCTCCTGCCCTTTCCAGGAGGAGCCCCCAGATGAGGCCTCAGGAAGCGGATACCGAGGGAATGGAAAGGACAGAGCTGCCTGGCGCAGTGCCTCTGCTCAGCACCGGCAGGCCGGAGGGGCCCGGGCAGTGGCGGAGCAATTCCACCCTCATCCAGGGAAGCCGGCTGGCTGCCAGCTCCTGGAAGTGATGCACATAAATCCTGGCTAATGGCTGGTCATCGCTCAGATCTGGGCTGCTCCTTCAGGACAACACAAACCTCCTGGGGGCCCCATTTTCCAGCTGCAGGTCCTGCTTGGGTTCCTTGAGGTCCCCTTGCTTGTGGAGCCAGGTGTGGTCATTACAGCAAATGCACTTTCCTGGTGGACCCCGGCTGCAGAGGGACTGTGTGCAGCAGAGTGGGGGGAGGCCATGGCAACGGGAGTCACAGGTGAGCCAATGGGAAACCAAACCCACAATCAAATGCAAACACAAACAAAACATGTGAGAGCAGCAAGCTGTGTAATAAATATTGCAAAGCGCACTTGGTTTCTTTCTTTTTTTTCAAGTCAAATATAACAACCAATGTCCCAAACCCTGTTTTCAGCATTCAATAGAGAGAAGCTGTTGCTATCAGCAGAACACCTGCAGCCATTCAAAGAAAAAAACCGTTTCCCATTAGCCAGCCAATCAAAATCCTTTTCCAGTTTGAGCAGCCAATCCAACCTCTTCATGTTCCTAAAAAGTGACCTAAATAAAGCACCAGAGCTCGGAGAGCTTCCTGGGAAGCCATATACCCGAGGCGCAAATTAAAAAAAGAGTCAGAAATAAAAATAAAAGGTTTCTGTTGGTCAAGATTTAAAAATAAAAAGATTTCTTCCTGCAGCCAATCATGAGTCCATCCCTTTAAGCCAATCATAACTGCACCACCGGTGTTTCCCTCGATGCCAG